CACAGAGGTCAACTCTCTCTCGGGTAGCGTCCGTCCGAATGTTGGTTACACAAAAGCAAAGGGGAAAGTGAGGATGGAATTCCTTCCAAAACCACGTTAGAACCAAGAATAACGGCGGTACACTGGCTTAAAGGGAATGGGACTCAATAAGGCCTCGATTCCTCGCCTATCTGCTACCAAATCCTCAAACACTTGATTTTAGAAAACAAAAAAACAACTATCTTCTTTGGGCTTATCTGACACTCTGCTGTCCCAAGCTTCCCAAAATGATAGTTAAGAACTTCTGGGGAAAAAACAATTGTTTCGACCTGATAAAGGACCGTCACTACATATAAAAAAAACTTTCACCATTTCAGAAAACAACTGCATTTATTCAAATTTGACCAGACCACGATCTCGAAGGTAAATCAGTGCCATTCTTTTTTAAATGAAACCCAATTTTCAGTCTTCTTCAAAATTTCCAATACTGTTGTGCATTTCAAAGCGAAAGTATTCAGACTCCAAACTGCTAAAGTTCTTATAAGTCTATTTATTTAAAAAAATACACACTGCAGGCTGTCAATATTTATCTGACTGTGCCATTAATATAAACTTCACAAGTACTGTTTGCGAGCTGAGAGCATCAAGGGTATTACTGTATCAACGCAACATTCGCTCCATGACTGACGGGGCCCTGCAATACAAACACATAGATGTGTTAACAAAGGGAAGAACACCAGGAGGAATATCGCTCGCTTATTTCTGCAAACAGCGGGTAAGCATATGCTTGTGAATACCAAATAAGGGGCCATGACGTTAAAGTACACAGAACAGAACCTCTTGCCGAAAGTTTGTCGCTGGGTTTGTACAGTTTGGCGAGACCTCCCCACCACCATTTTCCCCCACCCCACCAGGAACTTGCTGTGGTTCGGCTCGCTGTAATTAGCAAGCTGTAGCCTCTTAACCTACCTCAGCTTTAAATTACGAGGCACACAATCAATAAGCGAGAGATGGGAGCGAGAGATGGGAAAGTGGTCCTGGCGAAAACGCAGCTCTGGAACACTGCCGCATCGGAGTGTAATGTAGTATGCAAAGACCCTGCACTGAAGTCCCAAGCAGACAGACACGTGTTGTGGCTGTTACTTCTTCAGAGGGGACACTCAAATCCTGAGCATGCCGACTGTAAGGTCACTTTTGCAGCAATCAAAAGGCAGGGTTTTAGGTTCCCTCACAGAAACTAAAGCACTTAAAAGTAGAATTAAACCACAGAGGCCGTGAAGAACGTTATACCTCGCAAATCGCTCAACGTGTTTCTATCAATTCAAAAGCAAATGGAAGCAGTGCTCAAACAGCATCTACATATTTCTGATGTAGATCACAAAAATGTGTTTCTGACTATGTCCAGTGGGTGCTTTTACTGAGTTCCTATTTGCGTGTTATCACTCTCACCTCCGTAAAGGATTACAATCGATAGGCGATTGTATTCCGCCGCCTTCATTTTATTCCCCCTTTCTGGATTTTTCCAGTGGGTCCGGGTGTAGACTAGATTAGGAGAAAGGTTTTTACCCTGGAGCGAGCGGCTGCCTAACACAGTCCAGTTTCCTCGAATTGCAGGAAGGGCACCCTGAAATTAAACCTGTTTAATCACATTTTCCTAATCAAATCACATTTGGCAAATTCCTCAGCGGCCTGCGGTTTGCTGGGGGAAGAGGCGGCTCACTGACTGAGCTTGAAGTCAAGAACAAAGTTAACCTTCTTTTGTTAAAGATATATACATACCCCACCCCACCGGCCTAAAAAACCTTTCAAATCTTCATTCTTATTAATTAAATCTAAACAGAACAAAGCTGGGAAATGGGCTTCGGACCGCGCTCACACCTTTTTTGATTAGCAGAATCGATAGAAGTCAACAGCGGTCTAGAATTGTTCTGGACTGTTTTCTCGGGAGACTATTACAGTTCATTTCAAAAGAAGGCTATGGTGGAGTTGATGCTGTGGCCACAGTGACAGAAGGAAACAAATAGTCATTTCTGGAAGATTACATAAAGGGCCTGCTCACATAAAACCGAGCCCTCGTTCTCGTTTGGCTTTTCCCGGAAGATGTAACATTGACAGAGAGAAACTGGATTTACACGCCACGGCGGTACCCTGAATTTCATTAAACAAAATGAACCGTTGTAATAATCAACAAACACACACACACACACACACACACATACACAAAGCAAATTTGACCTTACCCCCTATCCAGGCTGATGTAGAGCGCAAATGATGGTACTCCCATTCTAGAATATTTAACTACAGGTGGACGAGTTCTGTTCCTGCAGCTAATCCTAAACCAAAAGCATTCCCCCCCCCCCACCCCGCCCCGCGGAAACGAAAGTGAACAAAATCACAAAACCGACAGCTTCCCTCACACTACCTCAAAAACGTCGATAGACAGGAGTCGGATCAAAAGCAAAAAGAATCCAGGTCGAGGACACTTAACTTCTGCCTGTAAACTCTCTGAGTCTCGTTTGCTAAGTGCTGTGAGCAACAGATTGACGGCAGCGTGCTCAATCAGACACAGGCTCGGCTCGATGTGGATTGGGATGTGTATTGGGTGCCCCGAAAAGCCAGACACCATTGTTCGTTCCCCACTGAGACCTTCAACTGGCGTTTCAATCTCGCCCCCTCAGTTACCGACAGAAGGAAGAATTCACTTGGTGATCCCAAACAGGAACAACTGAACAAGAGAGAATGGCTAAGTAACAAGCTGTACAAATAGGACTGGATAGCAGCGGAAAAGGGGGGAAAGGCCAAATTAGTGCTGTCTACATTCTTCCAGTTGGAAACCTGACCAAACGGGTACGAATTGCAAGCGGGGGGTAAACGATTTAAATGGAACTGTGCTATATGAAGAGACAGCTATTTGCAACGTGCGTATGATTTGGACAAAAAAGGGATCAGTTCGAAATCGTTGTTTAGCAAAAATCGATTTATATTGCTCTGTGATTGTTATAATCAATACCTTTTCGATCATGCGCACAGAAAGTAATCGGTAATCTGTTTATTCGCTTCAGAATGAGCGGGGAAGGTGCCCGCATTGTTGGCGCGTTCAAAAAAGAAAAGACTGCCGATCTCACCCGACATATTTCCACAGGAATTTACATTTATCTTACCCACGGAAGGACAGCCGTTGGCAAGAAAACCGTGTCTGAATCACATAGGCTATTCAGGAAAACGTCCAAATCGCTCGTGATAGACATAATTTGGGAAACGTAGTTGAATTTACTTACACCCAAAGCCAGCTCCGGTCGACTTGAACGCACACGTTTCTGTTCTCGACGTAAAGTGGCCTGGGCGACGTGGCGCCAAAAATAGAAACGATTTTCTAAACTTCCCAGATTTCGCTTCAAACTTCTATTTCATCCACCTCGTTGATTTATTTTCTCATCCTTTTTTTTCCCTGTGGAATTGCTGCTAGGTTTTGTCATTTTTTAAAAAAAAATTAATTCTGCTTACAGACTTTGAACATCCAGATTGAAGTTAAAGCTTCACTCTGACTGCCATTTTAATCTGTTACTGACTTCAATTTTACATATACACATAGTGTGTGTGTGTAAGATATAAACACTTACGAGATGACCTAAACTGAGGTAGACAAACCTGCAATCGGGCTTTTGGTTCGCATCTCGGTCTCAATAGTTTGTGATATGTCCAAAGGCACCTCATAAAAAGCGCTTGTTGATTTTTTTTTGGAGCACTTCAGTAAATTGGCGTTGCATTAATCATCCCCAGGGCTTTGAATGGCAAAGATCTCCCAATCCACAAAACTGTCTGCGTCAGTGCTGATGAAAACTAAGCTGGAAGGTGTACTCGACTCTTTGTCTTTGCTCCCATGAATGTCATGCTGCTTTGGAGAGTTTCATATACCGTGTCTCATAAAATGTTAAAATCATCTTTGATCTCAGTTTTAAGTGGTGTCATAAAGTTCACACGTCTACCAAGGGGAGGTTGCTGTTGTAATGCAAACTTTAAAAGAAGGCTTTTCGTTTTTAAAAACTTATTTGATTTTGCAGAACATATTTTCTTGCATGATTCCAATAAAAAAACACTTCCTTTACCGATCTTTATGCCTGCTCTTTTATTTAACAAAAACACGCATTGTCTTTTCATGTTTCATGTAGCGCACCCCCATCCGAATTAAATCATGTGATGGGTATACTACTGTATAATTTATCTTCATTTGCACTCTCATTATAGACTCTACACGACATAATCCTGTATGATTTAATGTGCAAACAGGCCTCGCACATGAGAATGCTAGATCAACATTATTAATAACCAAACACAAACTGTCTGACCTTTAATAAGGTAACATAAGCCTAATAAAGTCATCGAAAATGTAATCTGACCTTTGAACCTGTGATTCTGAAAAATGTATTCTGCTGAAAACGTATTTTAAAAAAAACAAAAAGAAGCACAATCTCGACCTGATGTTGGTTATGACCTGCATACGTTGTGTACTTCTCTAAAAAAAAGATTTTTGGACAGCAATTATTCTGGTTCATTTCTGCAAATTTCAGTGATGTCATCACAATCTTTCAGCGAACTAACTTCATCGCGCTGATCATCTTCATTATAATTTTATGTCAGCGATATTTTGGAGTGTATTCATTTATTTCATTTGTTCGGTAATATATTCATTCCTAAAATATTCCCTGGCAGCGCATTGACCAGATAACCCGACTTGGTAAACAATATGAGGGCTCCTTGGAATCAGCATATTGCTTGCAGCCGGCGGTTAACACACCAGCGACGGCAATGGACTGGTGTTAGTGATGAGTGTGTTACAATGTTAAATCACGATTTGGTTTCTGTGTCAGCATTGCAAAGAGTGGAGGGTAGTTATAGACAACTTTTTTTGTGTGTCCACACCCTTCACCCCAAAGTTGTACTTATTTGGATTAAACACGTCAACATAAAAACAATCCAATTAGACAAAATGGTTTTACGGTATATTTTTCGTTCTGGGTGAGCACAATGCTTCATTTCTTTTTAGCTGCAAAAGAAACACTTAATGCCGTTTCCCATTGTATACACAGGACAAGTTGTACATTAATTTTTTTTCGGAACATCACTGAATCTTACAACCAGAGTTACTAGTCTCAAAACTGATATCCACACAGACTTTTAATAATAATATTAATTAATAATAGACAGTGTTAGAAACATACAAGGGTTGCAGTTAGTATATACATTCCCTCGCTTTTAAGCGGAAAAATCCTTCAAGCTTCCGCGTGACATGCTTTTTTTATGTAACTTCAAAAACACTGGCGTGATATTACTAACAATTGCTTTTATAAAATTAATTTGACATTTCGATATATACACATCCGTTCCGCCAAACGTTTCCTTGTTTATTATCACAATGCTGAACTTAAAAATAACAAGCTTATATAGTGTATTAATAAAGGTGATATCCAGTCAAATAGTCGAGAATATTTCTTTTAACGGTCAAGCGTCCCTTTATCTGATGAAAAATATTTGCAAACAGGGTGTCAAGGGAGGAAATAATGCTTGCGCTATTCCCTTAAATGGGAAAGGCGGCTCTGTGGGGTAAGCTACACAGGTTCAGTGGTTTCGTCGGTAGTGCCCATTCTATTTTAAATTATTTCTTGGAGTTCATCAGTCTGAGAAGTTGCATCTGATTCCTCACACAGGCCTGTCTACAGCATACTGGCAGGCGCTCAAGTTAGACGCTGGGTTCTGAACACTGGCGTATCCGAAACTTGAATGCTGCTTGGCTTTGAGTCTAAGGCTGGCCAAGCTGGAATTGCAAGTGTCTCTATAGACGTAGGGCGGGGTTGGCGGAGCATAGGGGCAGGTTGCTGATGGGACGGCGGAGTTCAGGGACGGGCTGCTTAGGTTGTTCAAGTTATTGAGACTGTTGAGGCCAGAGCCTGGGACCCCGGTCACTGCAGAAGGGACCATGCTAGATGACATGCTCATGGAGGAGATGGAATTGGGAGAGGAGAACATGGCCTGAGAGGAGAGAGGGTTCACGTTCATTGAGTTGAAGAAAGGAAAGCTCTTGGTGGAGAGCGAAGCCGATGTCAAGCCTTTGGCGGCCCAGTTGTTGTAGGAGTAGCCCGAGTACATGTCATCGTAGGGTTGCATCAGGCCATTGAACTGAGGACCAAAGCCGCTCTTGCAAAGTTCCGCTTGTTGGTTGCGCTCCCTCTTCCTCCACTTGGCCCTGCGGTTTTTAAACCAGACCTGAGGAGAAAACAACAAGCAATGCTTTCAGAAACTTGCAAAGAAAGTGAGGATTCGGAACTACTGACCTAAATAAGCCGTGTACATTTATATATTAAGATAAAGCGCACATGAACTGGATCCAATTACTTTTTCCACTTCGGCAGCGAACATAGTTTATCCTTTTGGGGGCTAATAAATCAGTCAGCTAGATCTGTGGTTTCTCAATCAGTGAGGGAAGTCACAAACATTTGGTCTAACGGATATTTAAAAATGTAATCGGTACTTAATGCAAATACGCCTCACAACTAACCCATTGAGCACTTAAATGGGAAACACAACTTCTGCAAATATAAACTACACCATGAATGATGGTGGGGTATTTAATCGCCGAATGAATAAACCAGCGATTTCAGTCTGATGTTCTTCAGTAACACCTTCACCTGACCATTTAGCAGAGATTTCAGGCAGGTTATTAAGAAGACAGTATTAATATGGCCAAGTTTACCAAAATATCCACTTGCAGGAAGCACACAGGATCCGGAAATGGGGCGAAAAAAGCTACCAGACATTGTATTGTGAAACGGGTCCATTAGTGTGTTTTATGCTTGGGGAGGAACACGCTGTGGGAGTAAACTAAGCAGTGTGACATACACGAGTCCAAAACATGGTGAGCTGAAATAATTGATTGAATCTGTTTAAACTCTTTGATTGCGATACAATCGATTATGAATGCTGTGATCCCAGGGCTTGCTGTTTCTCACACTGTTTGTCATTTGAAAGGGCTTGCAGATTAATAATTTAGACATAAGCGTAGCAAGAACAGAAAGTACAGTGCGAAAGTAACAGCTAAAATTCCATTCGCTCTGTGTCGAATGATGCATTAATACGCTCGGAAACATACGCCAAATGGAAAACACATTACTCTTCAGTGCTGTGCCCTTTCCAAGATAGAACTTAGAAAAAAGACACCGTTGTGAATGTATTCGGAACTGACCGTAGTCCAATACACTACTTAGAAACACACATGGGGTCTGCTTTTGTTTTATATGCTATAGCCAAATGACCAACTGCGCAATACATTACCTGTTTCGCTGTCACATATACACCAACTCCAGCGTCACTTCGTTAATAAAGATCCCCCGCTGACACGCGAAATTCACGGATTTCTACAGAGGTGTGTATCATAAATGATTGTGTGCTACTTTGCACAAATAACTTTTTTTTCTATCCATCTATCTATCTATCTATCTAGCCATCCATCCATCCCTGTGAAGGAGTTAATTGGAACCTAATGAACCAGGTCAAACATAAGGAAAACCCCTTCTTTTCCACAGTCCTTGGAATCCACATTCAGCACAAGGAGTCTCTGCAGCCGTAGGGACATTTGTGTATTGGGATGTGAACTCAGACAAATATCACAATGGCCTGTTACCCGACTTTGTTTACACAACTGGTGTTCTACATCGACAAACTAATGTCAAATTAGCAAGCGGCATTGTATTTTAGTGTAAAATAAACATCGCGCTTTCAGTTCGAAAGAACATTACATGGGATTTTTTATACTAAGCAATATTACAAGATATTTGCCTATCTCCCTATTTAATGGATGCTATCAAGGGATGACGGAAGGATTTGATTGTGACAAACTATTGCGGAGTCTATAATTCAAGGAAAGTGATCAATGCGCACAACTTTAGTAAGGATTGTACTGTGACAACAAGTTTGGTTCAGATTTCCTCTTCAAAAATTACAGAGGATGTAAAATACAGTAATTTGGTTGCTAATAACTAAGGGAATACAATGAGAAAGTACTGTAAATTAACCTACCCGTACTCTAGCTTCAGTCAAATTGGTCCACACTGCAATCTCTTCCCTGGTCGACATGTCTGGGTAGCGATTTCTCTGGAAAGTTGCCTCCAGTTCTTGTAGCTGCTGGCTGGTAAAATGTGTCCTCTGGCGCCTTTGTCTCTTTTTCTTTGACGGATCGTCTGTATTCGTGTCATCATTTTTACTTTGCTGATTTTTTTCTTTTTCTGTGGGCAAAATCAAAAGGGCAGTGACTTCCCCACTTGTTTCATTGGGAGTTAAATAAATAGCACCTTACCCACCTGAGAAAGGTAGGCCCTAAGGAGAAACAGTATTCAACTTTACGAAAGTACCTTTGAATACATAAGACATTGCAAATTTAATTTGCAGCGACTCACAATGAGGTAACTGCATTAACTGTGTCTACTTCATTTCTAATTACAATCGTAATTTGTGTTCATTGTTTCATACATTTAATTTGGACATGTGTAGTATTATAAAACACCGACTCTGATAAAGAAACATAAATTATATGTGCAATTTATTTTCTTGTCTAAATTTACAGTCGTGTTTTCAACAATGTATAAATAAGCTGTTCATTTCATTGGTAAATGCAAATCATCTTTCCTTGTACATAATCATTAAGATATTAATAGAACCCCTTCAGATTGGAATAATTAAAATTCAATACGCCTGATATATATATAAACAATAATTCACATAGAAATCAGAAACGGAGAAACTTGTAAATATAGTATGTGCACATTTTATATATTGTCTCATACAGAATGGCGAATGATTGCTGATTCTAAAAGGCACTGCATATTATTTTCTCTCTAAGGCGCAATAAAGCAATGCCATAAAAAGGAAGTGGCACAATGTCCGACTGGGAATGAAATCGATGAGGTGTTATGCGGGTGAAAAAGGCCTTACCTCCTGTGTCAGGGCTGGAGGTGTCCGATAAAGTGTGAACCTCGAGCCGGTGCTTCGGCTCGCTCGTTCGTACTGGTTGCAAACCCGAAGCCATGGTTAATGCAGTCTGATCCCGCACCAATTTATTGCCGCTGCTGCTGTTTCTAAGGTGTTCCAAAGTCAACGGATCTTTTGCACTGTTCATCTATAAACAAATATAAGCAGCCGGGCGACGTTTCCAAAAAGGATTAAATTTCCTTGCAGCCCACCTCACACTAAAAAAAAGTCCAAAGGGGAATGGAATGATCAAGGGGTGTGGTGATCCAGGAACTGTTGTGCACAAACCTTCAATAAATTGTTGCACAGCTCTTCTTTAAATTGCGCTTTCGAGCTGCTGTCTTCATTAAATCAAAAATGTACCAGAGGAGAAGAGTGAGGTTGCAATGAATGAATGGTTCCGGGCTGACACTGTGTGTATGTGTGTGTCCGACTGATAGGGATGGGTGACTGCAGATAAGGATCCCCTGGCTGCCGCTGCTCCTGCCGCAAACGCGCTCCCTGTTCCACCAGTGGCTTTAAGAGCGGAGCCGCCTCTGATAACCTCCAGCGTTCCTCCTCCCCATCAGCCTCCGCCTCCGGCATGTCACTCGAAATGATTGACGTGTCTGTCCGGCCGGTAAACAGAGCGGATGGGCGGGGCTCTCGCCGAAAGCTTGAACGTCACTGAACCAATCAGAGAGGAGGCACGACGCGCACTCCGCCCACCTGTCTGTGACGACACCAGTGCTTGGGTCCGGGTGGTGGGGGTGCCCAGCATGCACCTGGAGCTTCGGCTGTGCCTCAGCGGGATGAGGGAGCAGCACCAGGGACCTACAGCCCTAATATCATGCACGTTATCAGTGTCACTTGAAGTCCGTATCCCCCGTTCTTTTAATTAACTACTTATGATAACAACTACCTTATGATAGCACGGAATATATTTAGAATACGGAAATTAATATCGCACCAGTTAACAAGAGCAGTTTACGGCAATTGCCGACAGCTCCACAGATCAAACACCAATATTACTTAATTTTCCGTTTGCTGTGTAACAGATCAAACTGGTACTAGATAATTGCGTTTCTTAGAAAGTTGATGTTCGATTCAAATGGGTCAATTCTCCCCATTCCTTAATCATTAAACTTACTCCCTTTCCCTGATGGGCACCATACTTATTGACAACTTTATTGAATAATAACAGTCGTTGAGGGTGGGGGAGGGGTAGGTGGCATCGTTTCTGACTCTGTTATTACTGAGCGCTTTGAGCATGTTTCCAATGTTTCGATTCGTCCTCAAGACAGATTGGTAACACCAATAACGATCTAAAGGATAACTTGAGATGTCATCCATACTGAAAATACATATCTCTTTCGAACGTGTAGTATTTGCCTTTTCGTTGGAAGACACATTCAGCATTAGTTATATACTTCATCTGTTGTTAATATTCAGCTTTATAATAAGACAACAATATTTTCTATAGCTGTAATTGTGCTCCTTTCCTAACTTACAGATCTGTCACATCGGTATATTTTCATTGCGATGCAGTGTTAGCAATCATTCGGAAAGCAGAAAGAAACGAAATATAAATCTACAATTGAATTATTGTAGTTTGCATTGAATTTTTAAGGTTGATTCCATGCATGGGCTGTTATGCAAGGGCAAATGTTAATTCAAAGGATGAACTTTAAGCGGTGCTACTCTTCTTCATAACTAGCGTAATTTAGCGTATAAACAATAAGATTAAATTGTTAGGTTTTGTTTATAAGTAAGATGGATATTGAAAACATGCAGCAGATTGGTTCGCATCTGAAGGACAAAGATAGGTCAACGTTTCTGGTCTAACTCTTGATAGATTATTTCATTCCAGAGCTGACCAGCCTATGATATACTCGCAGCATTTTTAGTTTGTATTTCAGATCTCTATCACGCTATTTAATTTCTAATTTTCCATTCTAATGTTCAAATAACATCGACAACAGGCTTAAAGAAAATGAAACTGAAATACTCAGTCGTGAAATCTTGCATCCACGCGAACCACTTAAAATAAATTATACTCTATTTTGTATACGTTAAAAACGTAAGAGTTTAAATTCTAAAAAAAAGCCAGCAAAAAGACGAATATTTGTTTATTTTGTTTTAGAATATGAGACATTTCAAAATACCTGGTGGTTTTGATTGCAGTTCTCCGTCAATAAATTAAACAGGTTTGGGTCTCAACAGTACTGGTTGCTAAAATTATTTGAAATTTGAAATGACAGGAGCTGAGGCATATCAATTTCGGAGGCGTCTTGTTCCGTTAGATTTGGTCCAGAGGTGACTGTTAGCCACGTTTGACTCAATAAACTAAACAGATTTGCTTTATGACTGCTAACTCTAAAGCCTAAAAGCTCTTTCCTTGATTAACCTGACTCCCGAATACTGGTGATGAGGCTAATAACGAAGGATTTGTAGTGACACGAGGGCTATGACACTTCCCGCGCTCAATATCTCAACCTCCGTGTTTACTGTTTCACGAAAGCTGCAAAACAAATTACAAAAGAAAACATCGCCGCGAAAAATGTTTGGATGCTTTTTCTGTCTGAAAGATTATCATTAATCATCATTCTGTTCGTTAACTGCTTCTAAAGAAAGTCTATCCCTGAGATTTGGCAAAGATTCTTCCCCGCAGAACCGCGTGAGTTATAATGGAGAGAATGCTCTTAAATTTGTAGTGGTTTTTAATCTGATAAGACTCTAATTTGCTTAAGTCTTTTAAATAGGCTTTAAACGGGTTCTGGCAGTTTTCTTATTGAATTTCTTCTAATTCCCAAATGATCATAAAGTACTGACGTAAAGTAAATATTTCCTTTCTAGGGCGCCGAGTGTGACCGAGAACGAAATGAACCAGTCCTTAGGCCGAGAACCTGTGTATAAACAGCGCAACCTGGCTAGGGACTTAACATTGGATTATCATTACCTCCTTGAATTCAAGTGGCTTTGACTGTTAAAATTAATAATAAAATTAAAGCTGAGTTCTAGAGCGGAAGATGAAGGAGATCAAACTTTAATGCCAATTTTCTGAAGTTGGTCGCTGTTATTGATTTAGGAGGTTGAGAAATTCTCAGCTTTACTCCATATTGCAAGAGAGAAGGAAGATGTAGATACAATTTATTTTTTGTTTGTGTGTTTCATTATTGAGAAACTTTGTTAACGTTCTTAGTGATGCACCGTAACCCCCATTTCAATTCACTTCGATGACATTAATTCCGATAGGCTGACCTTTATCGTTTCCTTGATGGGCTCTAACCTTGGCTTTTGCCTCTTTTCTCTTCACGCATTCGTGCATATCACGACATTGGACCAGTAAAAGGGCCAGTTTTCCCAGGCGCGTTAATCAATGATTTTACGGACACGACAGGAAACAGTACAATTCTTTCTCAATCATGTAGCTTCACCGAGTGTTTACCGCTGTTCAGAAATGCCGTCACACATTGGGCTAGGACTTCGATGTGGACAGATTGATTCAGAAAAAAAAAGCCCATGCGTTCAAGAGCATTCAATAGGTTTGGTTTAATACATAAATTTAAAGGAAGGTTTGTTCTTGAAAACAAAACAAATCGGGATTTTGACATTGACTTTTTGAGCGGAGGATGCTCAGCCATATTTGGAAATACATGAAATCTATTCCCCATCACATGAATGGAGTCATGTTGACTCCTAGTATAACGTTGAACGGCCGGGCCCCACAGATGAGTTTAAAACATTCCGATGGCACCCGCGGATTAAAAGCAGGAAAGCCATTTACACTGCCATAGAAATCCATTTAACTGTACAGATTTCAAAAGCCTAGTTTAAACCACTTGCAAGGCCCCAACTTCCCCTCCAGGAGTATACGTTTCTGACGCATATTAACGTTTGAGTTTCTTATATTTGCTGTTGGAAACGTCTATCATAAAGTGTGTGCATTGTCCAGCACCAGTCTGATTCAGACTCGGGTATAATTTAGGAACATACCAGTTCATAGCTGAATGAGCCCAACAAGTTTACAGCAGTATGGCATCGCCTCAATCCCGTTCCGACTCGTGCAATAATTTCCTGGGTCAAGCCCTATTGCCTGAAGGACAGTAACTACTTTTAACCCCGATTACAGTCTCGCTTGTTTGTCAAGGACAGTTAGGATTTGTGTATGTTTCAAACTTTTAAGATTGGGTTTCTCCTCCAGACTGGGCGGATCGGTTGCAGGGTTCGCCCGGTGAAGGATGGAATGGAAACGGCGCGTTTGGGAGACTGATGGCTGTTGATTTTATTGTGAAAACTGCGAAAACATTTTTTTTTTGCAACCTGCTTCCCTGTTTACCTGTTCACTTGCAATCTCCCTTCACCAACAAGCAGGGAGACACCCCGCGGATTGTACATATGCTGCTAAAATGGACGGCAAAAGCTCGCCCGGTTCATTTGATTAAAGGTCTGCGAGTTTTTTTTATGGTTGAAAATTGGGGAGCCAACATTCAGCATTAGTTGCTATGGTTACCGTAAATCACATAAACCAAAAAAAAGACCGGCCTATAATCTGAGCTGAAGCTTTGATTTCCCTGGTGAAATAATATTTAAAAAGCCTGTCAGCTGACAAAACAACCTTATTAATTTTCAACGGGTAAGAAGATAAAGGCAAAGAGTTTTTCGTTTAAAAATGTGTGTCTTCGAACAACCGTGCAAAATATTGATAAAATGGTCCATGTCTTTAAATTTGTCATTCCGGTATTATTAATAAAGCTGTGTGCTACCGATCATGTTGTTAATATACAGCAACATTTAGGAATTAATATTCAAATTCTTAATGGATTCATGAATGCACATAAATAAATCAGAAACAAAAAAGATTTTTTTTTGTTGTGTGTGTTTGCATGTGTGAGGATTAGAGATGTAATATTTTGAATACAACAGTGCCCAGCATCAAAGATTGGATTCTATGCTGGTCCATTTCTTTGACAGCACAAGATGGCTATATCCAACACAGATTGCTTTGACGTGTGTAAAATTTTCTGATTTTTTTTCGACCTACAATTTGAGGACATCTACTGATTAGTTTTGAAAATTGTACTTGGCAGGTGACAATCTAAAAAAGCACCACTTTGTTTCGTTCACTCCCTCTCTATATATAAACAATCAGTTCACATCTTTTCCATGATGTCTAACCTGAAAGCATGCCAAATCAAATGTCAGTTGTAACATTTTCTTTTCGCAATGTATCCTGGCACCTGGAATAACAATATATGGTGTGTCTATTGTTGCAAGAATCTCTATATGACAGTTTTACATATTTATGCTCTATACTATAAAATGGCACTAAATGAAAATGTATTTTCCCATTGAATTATTTAGTAGTTCTAATTTTTTAAAAATAATTGAGAGCTCAGGAAAGACGGGAGGCATCAACGTAATAATTTATATTTTACGTAGTTTCTCTACAAAAATAAAGCACTGCAAGACATAGAACATTTCTGTTATCAAACAAAATTTGACATAAAGCCACGTGAGGGGTTCATGGAGCCAATGACCAA